TTCATGTTAGCAAATTCACTTCTTCTTGGGAAGCAGATTAAGTGGCAGAAAGTCCAGGAAAGAAAGACCAGAAGGAGTAATGAGAGAAGTGATGGTGGGGAAGCTGAATGTTGAGGGAGGTGGAGGAAGGAGGAGATGAGCAGTGTCAGTAAATACTGTGCATTCAATAGAAGTTGAAGAATCATTGTTAGAAGCATTTCCAAACAAAACACTAAGCAAAATGGGAATTAGGCTTATTTCGAATGCATCTTTAACTTATGAAAGATGTACTAATTGTGGGGGTGCCTGAGTCAGGTGGAGCTGACCCAGGGGTGGGAACGATGGCAGCTGCCTGGGACCCATGTGCTTGGCTCAGGCTATGTCCTCATGAGAGGTGCTGGGCTCCATGGATATGTGTTGTGGGGCAGACAGTCACTGTGGGATGTCTTCAAAGTGAGCAGTTACAGAATTAGTTTACTTTGAATTTTGTTGTCTAAATAGCTCCTGCTTTGTTTTTTAAATTACATTTTTTGTTTTTACTACCACGGGCTGGCCTAACTAACAGAAAATGGATGATCAACCTCTGGTTTTACCATAATGCAACGTGCCACAGAAAGTTTGGGGGAGGTTTTTAATGTAATTGCACTCTGGTTAATTGGCTCGTACCAAGTCCTGCCTTATGATCTGTGGAAAGCTTCAAGGAGTTCCACTGATGCAAAAGGGTCTTTTCCTAGCTTCCCGGTCTGATCAGTGCTATCAGATGGACAGATAAGCGTGAATGTTTTATACCGAAAATGGAAATGATACATTTCTCTTGTTATGTGTTTTCATAAAATGTAGCATTTTTTTTCTTATGGAAAAAAGAGTTTCAGGTGTCTCCCCACCTAGGGCAAATTCATGCACATTGTCATGTCATACCACCATTCTGGAAACGATTTCTGTGGATTTGAAATTGCACTTTTAATTTTATATATGACAGCATTTAAATGCAAACACTACCATGAATTTCATGTATAAAATGTTGTCAAACCAAGGGAAAAAACCACAGTTCACCATGTGGAGTTTACTTTTTTTATATGAATGTTTGTTGTACTGTGTCTAAGCATAACTTCCCTAATGTCATTACTTTTACATACCAGATTTGACTGACCACTAATGTAGTACTGGTGATAACTTAATATCCTATGTTGTGTCAAGACTCTTCTAAGACTTTCTTGAATTGCTTGCGTAAAGGTCTGAACACTGTTAAAGAGAAAGCTAAGTATCAATTTGCCTTTCAGATAGAAACGTTTCTTGTGCCAGTTTTATTGTTGAAATATACCATTTTTTTCCTTTTTTAATTCAGTTTTTTAAAAAAACAAATGTATTGTGGCTTCCGATTACCAGGTTGTCTAAGTAATGACAGTAAACTGACTGTAGAATGATTATTGTGGTATAGTGACCAATAGATGCCAAACAGCTTGTGGCCGCACTAAAGGTGGGGTCGCTTAGTCCCTGGGAGTAAAATGAGTGACCTCAGAAACAAGAATTCCTGGAAAGGCACATGCCGAAGAGGGATATGGTATAATTTTAAATCTTAATGCAAAATTTTAATTTGTCTTTTTTTTTCTATCATTTGAACTGATAAGCACTTTTTGTGTCAATATAAAATATACTACAACTGATGAAATGCTAAGACATGTCTTGTGAAGGAAGGTTTCTTGGAGACCACTTTTATTTACACGTGACAAGTAGATGCTCCTAGTATCAGAAGAAGCTGATACGTAGTGTCATGTGCTCAGTGGTTGCCAAAGTCTACCAACTTTGGGGAGCTGCAGGGTTCTTTTTGGGAGGTGGGAGGAAGGGAGATGAGTTTGTTATTTTGGGGTTTTCAAGCATTGGAACCAAAGGCCAAATAATAAACAGCCTTTAGTTTTTAAAGTAAAATTCATTTTATTTGCAGAGTACACTTGTATGGTAGACTGTTAAAGACAATTTTATGACTGTTATGACTATTTATGCACATTATAATGGTTACATCTGCTGTTTGTCTTTAAAATAAAAAAAAAAAAATCAAAGAAAAGCCCAACTTTGAATACGTGGCTGAGATAACGGCCAGGAATTGGTCTTTCCTAAAAATGCAATAGATATGCTGCTAGATTGTTATTTTGTTTGCACTTTTTTTGATTGGCATTTTAAAATCGGTAAACTGAAGACATTGTCGTGTTTTATTAATTTAACAAAGTTGAAAGTGACTGCTCTGTACATCATGACCTTAACAATGTTAATGCTGTTAAGTGAAAGTTCACTGTTGTCTGTATACTAAATTTATTGGTGTTTCTAACTTAAAATTAAGACTGCAGATTATCCCCCACCAGCCTTAGTCCAGGGGTGTGGCTCTGTCCGGGTGCAGTATGCAGTCATGTGGAACCTTGCTTTCTAGTCCTGGGAAAAAAAGAAGATGTCTCTAATTACTGGCTTCAATAAACACGAATCCAGACTGCTTACAATTTTTGGTGGCTTTCTTTATGGTAAATCATCCCACTGGAGATACATTGAATTGTCTGCTAATCATATGGGGTATCTGATCACGTAACTAAAAATGTTTACCTGTCTCACTTGAAATTGTCAGAAATTCTGGAAAGAATAACATTGTAAAGCCGTATTTATTTTATCCTATTTTTTAGAGGTGGGGGTTGTCAAGGCTGGTCTTGAACTCCTGGCCTCCAATGGTTCTCCCGCCTTGACCTCCCAAAGTGCTGGAGTTACAGGTGTGAGCCACCAAACCCAGCCTGGTTTTTTTGGTTTTTAAAAATTACAACCATCCTCGTGAGTATAAAGGTGGTAGGTATCTCAGTGACTAACAGTATTAAGGAGCATCTTTTGATGTGTGTATTGGCCATTTATGTATCTTTGGAGAAATGTCTGTTCAGATTCTTTGGTCATTTTTAAATTAGGTTATTTGCCTTTTGTGTTTTTTGTGTTTGTTTTTGAGACAGGGTCTTGCTTTGTGGCCCAGGCTGGAGTGCAGTGGCTTGGTTATAGCTTATTGTAGCCTTGACCTCCCAGACTCAAGTAATCTTCCTCCCAAAGTGCTGGGATTACAGACATGAGCCACTGCACCCAGCCTATTTGACTTTTTATCATTGGGTTGTAAGAGTTCTTTATCTATTCTGGATACTACACTCTTAACAGATATAACTCAGTCCTTTTGATATGCTCCCCTTCATCTCTGAGCATTTTCTTTCTGGCACAAAAAGGTGTTCCAGACTCACCTTGCATTTTCCCTGACTTTGTCCTGGAATCAGCCATTTTTCCAAGGAGTCCTGGTTCCTGGTTTCTTTTTTTTCTTTTTCTTTTTTTTTGAGACAGAGTCTCGCTCTGTTGCCCAGGCTGGAGTGCAATGGCACAATCTCAGCTCACTGTAACCTCCACCTCCCGAATTCAAGTGATTCTCCTGCTTCAGCCTCCCGAGTAGCCAGGATTACAGGTATGCGCCACAACGCCTGGCTAAGTTTTATATTTTTAGTAGAGACGGGTTTCACCATGTTGGCCAGGCTGGTCTCAAACTCCGACCTCAGGTGATCCGCCCTCAGCCTCCCCAAGTGCTGGGATTACCGGTGTGAGCCACCTTGCCCGGCTTAGAGCCCTGGTTTCTTTTAGTAGGAGATTGGTTTTTGGAAACCAAGATCTGGACGATAGGCATACTTAATTTTACTGAGTGTTACTACTTGTAGGCCTTTTGGTGGACACACCATATCTACTTTTTCACTTAACATTGCCTGTAAATTGGTTTATATTAGTTCTTGGAGATGTTTATTCTTGTTTATGGCTACATCGTATTCAATTGTATGATGTACCTTGTTTATTCATCCGGTCTCTTGTAGATGGGCATTTAGGATGTTTGCAGTCTTGTATTATTACATCTAATGCTGCAATGAGTAACCTTCTGCATATCTTGTGTTTTATTTTGGAGATGTGGCTTCAGGGTAAATTCCTAGCAGTGGACCTACCTACTCAAAAGGTAAATGCGCATCTGTGGTTGTTAGATATCAAAATCCCTTCCATAGAGGTCACACCAATCTGCCTGCCTGTCAGCACTTGTACAGATTATTAATTCATTGTTATATTTTGTCTTAAGTTAGGAAGTTTGGTGAATAAATGTGTTGGGGATTATTTTATTTGATGATATGGGCATTAACATTGTAATAGCAAATGCTTACATTGGAGATTGCTGTATACCAGTCACTCTTCTATTTTAATTTTAATTTAATTTAATTTAATTTAATTTAATTTTATTTTTTATTTTTTTTTTGAGACGGAGTCTCGCTCTGTCGCCCAGGCTGGAGTGCAGTGGCTTGGTTATAGCTTATTGTAGCCTCTGCTAGATTGTTATTTTGTTTGCACTTTTTTTGGGCGTGCACCACTACGCCCGGCTAATTTTTGTATTTTTAGTAGAGACAGGGTTTCACTATATTGGCCAGACTGGTCTCGAACTCCTGACCTCAGGTGATCCGCCCGCCTCAGCCTCCCAGAGTGCTAGGATTACAGGTGTGAACCATGGCACCCACCCACCAGTCACTCTTCTAGGTGGTTTATACAAACTGATTTAAACTTCACAGCAACTCTGCTGATATCCGTCTTAGTTTCCAGATGAGGAAATTAAGACATGGATAAGTAAGTAGCTGCTAAGGTCTCAGAATTTGAACGCAGGCAGTCTAGCTTCTGAGTTTGAACTAATCATGGTGGTATGCTGATACTCTGTGCTCATTTAAAGCAATTGGGGACCCATGCGTGGTGGCTCACATCTGTAATCCCAGCACTTTGGGAAGCTGAAGTGGGCGGATCACAAGGTCAGGAGTTCGAGACCAGCCTGGCCAACATGGTGAAACCCCATCTCTACTAAAAATACAAAAATTAGCCAGGCATGGTAGCCATGCCTGTAGTCCCAGTTACTCGGGAGGCTGAGACAGGAGAATCACTTGATCCTGGGAGGCAGAGGTTGCAGCGAGCCGAGATCGTGCCACTGCACTCCAGCCTGGGTGACAGAGTGAGACTGTGTCTCAAAAAAATAATAAAGCAGATGGGGAAAATGTATCAATCGAGAGTGTTTTCATCTGTGGTCATAAGCAGCTGTGTGCTACTATTCAAACTTTTCCTCTTGTGGTAATGAATGGAAGAGTCACTCTTGCTAGGTGGAGAGAATGGCAGAGAAAGTACCCAATATCCTCTACAAAGGGAGAAGGGACTGCAGTGGCAGGTATCTTGCTGGGAAATGCAAGTTGAGATGTCTTCCACTCATATCTTGGAATTTACTTTCTCTTAAGGTATGAAGAGCTTTAGGTGTTGCCTGCGGCAGGTGCCCTTGGCAGGCCCTGAGACAGACTTTCACCAGTGCAAATGTTCCTAGGTGTGCCTGTGAGGCTGGCAGGCTGGCCTGCCTGTAGACCTGCCTTAGGGGCCCTCACACACACCACTAACCTCTCTGGAATTCTCTTCTGCCACCTCTGGCTTGGGAGCAACCTGTGGAGGGAGGCAGTTGGAGTGTTGGGGAGGGCATGGGCACTAATGGATTCCAGTCCTAGTTCATTCTGTGGTGACTTTTGAATCAAGCAAGTGCAGTTCAAATGGATGAGAAATTGATCAAGAAGCAAAATAGGAAAACAACCCAAACTGGGGAGCTTCACCCCTCTTAGGCCTCCTTTTCCCATCTTTGTAAAGTAGGGATAAAATTTCTTTCTAGTCATTGTGGACATTAGAGGAGGTACACATGTGCCTGGCATGTGGTAGGTCTTCGGTGTGATTGACGACCCTGAAAACATCTCTAGGATGTCATCTCTAACACTGATCCAGCAACCTCATTCTTGGCTCCTACCCTTTTTGGTTGTGGCATTTCAGTTTGTAGTATAAATATCATCTCTAAAGAGAACAGAGCGTAGAGGCATGGATATCCTGTGATCGTTCACTGTGGTGGTCCCTGGTGCAGCTCCTACAGGATGCCACAACAGAGTCCTGGGTTCTGAGATACTTAGTATTGTACTCCTTACCCTGCAAGGCTTGCAGATAGCTGAAAGGATGCCAAGTGCTGTCTTGATGCTGTCTGTGATTGACAAGGGAGAGATGGTGTGTTCTGACCAGGAGGCAGAAGTGACAGGTCAGTAGCAGTGGTGGTGAGGGCCCAAGGAAGGAAGCAGCTGAAACTCCCACTGGAGATGAACAGCACACCCTGCTGGCTCACAGAAGTGTCTCCCTGGGCTTGACGCTGAGGGACTGTCAGCCTGAAAGGAGAGGAGACAGCAGGGGTTTGAGGCCAGGAATTGGGGGTGGATTCTTTGTGGGTCAAGAAGTCCTTTCCCCAACCTTGGGCAGTATTTCAGATGGGACAAGCCTAGCTTTTCAAATGTTTCTAACCTTGTTACGAAATTACTATGTGAAAATTTGGCTGGCGCAGTGGCTTACGCCTGTAATCCCAGCACTTTGGGAGGCCGAGGTGGGTGGATCACCTGAGGTCAGGAGTTCAGGTCCAGCCTGGCCAACATGGTAAAACCCTGTCTCTACTAAAAACAGAAAAATTACCTGGGCGTGGTGGTGGGTGCCTATAATCCCAGCTACTGGGGAGGCTGAGGCAGGAGAATCACTTGAGCCCAGGAGGTGGAGGTTGTAGTGAGCCGAGATTGTGCCACTGCACTCCAGCCTGAGTTACGGAGTGGGACTCTGTCTCACCAAAAAAAAAAAAAAAAAAAACTTCCTGGCCGGGCATGGTGGCTCATGCCTGTAATCCTAGCACTTTGGGAGGCCAATGGGGGTGGATCGCCTGAGGTCAAGAGTTCAAGACCAGCTTCGCCAACATGATGAAACCTCATCTCTACTAAAAATACAAAATATTGGCTAGGCGTGGTGGCTCATGTCTGTAATCCCAGCACTTTGGGAGGCCGAAGTGGGAGGATCACAAGGTCGTCAGGAGTTGGAGACCAACCTGACCAACATGGTGAAACTCTGTCTCTACTAAAAATACAAAAAGTAGCCGGTCGTGGTGACGCGCACCTGTAATCCCAGCTACTCAGGAGTCTGAGGCAGGAGAATCGCTTGAACCCGGGAGGCGGAGGTGCAGTGAGCCGAGATCGAGCCACTGCACTCCAGCCTGGGCAACAAGAGTGAAACTTCGTCTCAAAAAAAGAAAAAATAAATACATTCCTATATAAAAATTCATTTAATGACAATATTAAGATATTTTCATATGTAATGTTCTGTAACAAACTTATTTCTTGTGTAGAACTGAATTAACTGACATTCCTAAGTGATCATCGAGCTCCTCCATCCTCCCTGCCCTGCCTCCCCACAAATCTCACCCAAGCAGGATCTTTAAAGAACTATTTAAAGTTCTGCTAGAAAAAGCAAACCCAATGTGAAGCATTTAAGTTTTTGTTTTGGGAAGAGTTCAACAATTTATGTGCCTTTTTAAGGCAATAATTTATTTTAAAGAGTGGGGGTGCAGCTTGTGGCCTGTTAACATCTGCCCTTGATATTTAAAATATTTGGCACAGTTTGTGAATCTGTTTTTTACCTATTCAAATCTAACAAATGTTAGCCTGGAATTCAACTTTGGTGTATATAGGAAACAACACTGTCACTGTTCAAGCTTTGTATATAGAAAATATGTGGGTGTCAAGAAGGTGTATTTTATTTTATTTATTTATGTTGAGACTGTCTTGCTCTGCTACCCAGGCTGGGGTGCAGCGGTGCAGTCGTGGCTGACTGCAGCCTTAACCTGGGCTCAAGTGATCCTTCCACCTTACCTCCCAAGTAACTGGGACTACAGGTGCATGTCACCATGCCTGGCTAATTTTTGTATTTTTTGTAGAGATGAGGTTCACCATGTTGTCCAGGGTGGTCCCAAATTCCTGAACTCCAGCGATTCACCTGTCTGGGCCTCCCAAAACGTTGGGATTACAGGCGTGAGCCACTGCGCCTGGCCCAGTACCTTACTGTTAACCATAGTCATCCTACTATGCGATAGAATACCAGAACTTACTACTCCTATCTAATTGTCACTATGCTCATCAACCAGCCTTCCTCATCCTTTCTTCCCCCATCCCTTTCCCAGTCTGGTAACCACTGCATTAGACAGATTTTGGTTTTGATTTGTTTTATGGGTGACTGGTAGATCTGACACATCTTTGACTGTGGGCATCTTCCAGGTCCCACAGAACGCCCTTTGAGAACATTCACATGCCGGGTTTTTGAGGCTTGGTAAAGGTCCATGTTTTTATGAGCCTTGGAATTTGGACTCTGGTGTTAGTACCTTTCATCCTCTGTTTTACCTCTCCTGCCCCATCTTCTCTTCCCCCTCACAATCCCTGCCCCAGAGGAAATAAGCACTTGTGAATTGGTGAATTGGTGAATTTGTGATAACTAGGACAATGCTGGGAGTTTTTGCTCCCTAGGAGCGGGTTTCTCCCTGATGCCCATGGATAGATAGTACAGTCCTAGTCACAAAGGGGAGTTCAGCAAACATCGCCTGCTGCTGGTGCTGAGTCCTCATGGGAATCATCACCAAGAACAGCTTCAAACCGGCCACTCTGCCAGATGGCTCTCCTTACACTTGGAACCGTAAATATTTCTGGCATTGAGCCGAATCAGAACTGCTCTGACAGAAAAGAAAACCTGTAACCTATAGCCCCAGGCCCAACACCTGGGCTCTCTCAGCTGGGAACTTGTTTCAGGTCGACTTGGGTTTGAGTCGTGGCCCCAGAACTTCACAGTTGTGTAGTCATGGAGAAGTCAGCTAACTTCTGTGAATCTCAGCATCCAGTGAGCAGATTCTCACCTCCCTCATAGGGATGCTGGATGTGTGCCTAGCACAGTGCCTGGCTTGCAGACAGTGTCCCCAAACAGAACCAGCCCTGAATAAATTGTGTGACAGGCCTCAGTTCTTGAAAAGGCTTTAGAGACCAGGCATGTTGCTTATGCCTATAATACCAGCACTTTGAGAGGCTGAGGCTGGAGGATGACTTGGGCCCAGGAGTTTGAGACCAGCCTGGGCAGCACAGTAAGACTCTATCTCTACAAAAAAATATAAATAAATAATGAGTCAGGCATGGTGGCACATGCCTGTGGTCCCAGCTACCCTGGAGGCTGAGGTGCTGAGAATTGCTTGAGCCCAGGCCAAGGCTGCAGTGAGCCACTGCACTCCAGTCTGGGTGACAGTGAGACCTTGACTAAAAAAAAAAAAAAAAAAAGCCCGGGCACAGTGGCTTATGCCTGTAATCCCAGCACTTTGGGAGGCCAAGGCAGGTGGATCACCTGAGGTCAGGAATTCAAGACTAGCTTGGCCAATGTGGTGAAATTCTGCCTACTAAAAATACAAAAATTAGCTGGGTGTGGTGGTGTGCGCCTGTTATCCTAGCTGCTCGGGAGGTTGAGGCAGGAGAATCACTTGAACCCGGGAGGCAGAGGTTGCAGTGAGCCGAGATTGCACCACTGCACTCCAGCCTGGGTGAAAAGAGCAAAAACTCCATCTCAAAAAAAAAGAAAAGAAAAGGCCTTAGAAATTATTTGCCAAGGTTACACAAAGTCAGGAACAGAGTTGGGAATAAGAAATGAAGTATTGCTGCTGTCTTGCGGCCTTCCTCTACCCAGTCTGCATACCTTTCCCTAGCTAGTCAGCTGGTAGCCCAGGCAGTGCTAAACACCAGGTCTTAAATCTGAAGAAATAAATTGCTAGTTGAGACTGAGCAAGAGAGCTATTTTAGGGCAGACAAGCTTTCAGCACACCATAAATTCCATCACCTGGCAACTGCCTGATTTCTTGGGCAAGGCAGCTTTCTGCCATCTGCATGTGTGGGCATCCAAACACATGTTTGAGGTATGTGGCCTCTTGGTGCCTCCTCCCTGCTTCTGTTCAGTAACCATAGCCATCTTCCAGGGACCTGTGGGCATGGGTTGGTGACACTCAAAATGCAAGTGACGGGAGGTGAACAAGGTAGGTAGGCCCTCCCCCTACCGGGCTGGTATTCTGGGAACAACAGACAAGTTAGCTGATGTCTTGAATGCCACAGTCAGCTTTTCTCTGCTCAAAATAAAAACTAAAATCTTTGTCAACCTCTTCTCCCCCAACAATTAAGCCCTCAAGCCTTTAGGTGGGCAGAGCATGGCAGGTGTCTGCCTGGGGGTGGAGTGGGGAATTGTGGAGACCCAAAGGAGGGTTTGGAACCTGAGCAGGGTGGAGAGTGTCCGTCCCCATGAGTAGGAATGGATGAATGGCCTGGCATAGAGTATTAACCCAAGCAGGGTGGAGAGGGTATACTTATTTGGGGATGGGGCAGGGGTGCAGAGAGTCAGAGACTGACTGAGAGCAAACCCATGGGTAGCCTCCCCTAGTGGAGAGGAGAGGGTGTCTACAAAGAGTAGAGCAGGCATGGGGTGTCTGAGTGGGGTGGCCTAGGGCAGGGTCATGTGGTAAGGAGGGCATCTGTGCACGGATGGAGGTGATGGAAGAGGGGCTGCATACAGGCATTGGTCAAATAAGTTAAATGTATATGGCGTTATATTGGAGTTGGAGGCATCAGTGTGAACGCATGGTTTGGGTGTTTTTTTTTTTTTTTTTTTGAGGCAGGGTCTCACTCTGTTGCCCAGGCTGGAGTGTAGTGGCATGATCACAGCTCACCACAGCCTCTGCCTCCCAGGCTCAAGCAGTCCTTCTGCCTCAACCTTCTGAGTAGCCAGGACTACAGGTGTGCACCACCACACCCAGCTAATTTTTGTGTCTTTTTGTAGAGATGGGTTTTTGCCATGTTGTTCAGACTGGTCTTGAACTCCCAGGCTCACGCAATCCTGCCTCCTTGGCCTCCCAAAGTGTTAGGATTACAGGTGTGAGCCACCATGCCCAGCCCGTGGTCTTCAATACACTCATGCATACAAATTTTCAAAAGGCCAGGTTCAGTGGCTCACGCTTGCAAAGCCCAGCATTTTGGGAGGCCAGGGTGGGCGCATTGCTTGAGCCTGGGAGTTCAAGACCAACCTGGACAACATAGTGAAATCCCATCTCTACAAAAAATGTAAAAATAATCCAGGTGTGGTGGCATGCACCTGTAATCCCAGCTAGTCTTGAGGCTGAGGCTGGGGTATTGCTGGAGCCTGGGAAGCCAAGGCTGTGGTGAGCCATGACTGGGTCACTGCACTCCAGCCTGGGTGACGGAGTGAGACCCTGTAGATGTAGAGGTGTGCACATATGTGTATGTGTTTGCACACATGTATCCCTTAGCTTTTTGCCCTGAGA